GACTGGCGATATTCGCGTTTGGGCCAAAATCTTCGTCGCCAGTCTGACTCGCCAAAGTAAGGGAACGGGTTAAAGAGACGAACGAGTCGGACGACGAGACAAGTATCTGATCGTCGAATAAATCGTAAATTGTACTCACGGCTAAAAGCAGAGGCAGCAACAAGATTAAAGTCGATTTCCGTATACTCCGCCACGTCCTCTCCATCATGCGAGTCTCCTCTCTGCAATAAAAAGCAAAAGAAAGGCTGCTATAAATGCGTCCACGGTTAAACAGCTGATTCCAACGGATCGTTGACGTCGGATCGATCGAACACTCGGATCTTACGTAGGTCGCGCGATATTTCAATTCGATCCACTCTATGAGGATTCGAAGCATCTGGATTATTCGTTGTTTCCGTTTAACAACGAACCACGTCGTTGCCACCCCGTTCGTGGAATGTAATGTAAGTGGAATGCGAGCACCGAATGCGAGAGGATCGGAAATATACCGGATAAAAGAGATTCGTGGCATTTATCGTCAGTCGGATGCACAAGTAGCACGTTTACCGTCCGGAGTTTAAACAAAGGACGTTGCGCAACGAGCATCTAAACCGCACTCTACGAAAGCCGAGCTTCTTAATTAAAAGCTCGTTCGGGATGACGCGGTCAAAGAAAAAGTCGCAGCCCTGCATCGTCGGGAAATTCAATTCCGCGAGATTTAAAGTCTGCTTTATCTCTGTCGGAATTGGCGAGGAAACAAAGTTTGAAGGGGGTTGGAGAGAAAGAGGAGGAGACAAAAAATAGGAGAAAAATTAAATTCCGTGGGTAGCGCGGAGACAAGGGAAAGAGTTCAAAGACGGAACGCGAGAAAACAAGAAAACTTGTACTTCGAATGGGAGGAGAGATCAAAGGGAACGAGGATCGCGAGTCCGTGCGATCAGAAAGTACCAAAAACTTCGAGTGGAATAGTACGACGACGGATGGTGAAAAAAGCGCGAGGAAAAGATGAGAGAAAAATACCGGACAAATATCCGCGTTCTTTCCCCCGCGGATAACGTGAAAAACGATTTGCTCGATGAACAGCCAGTGAAGAAGAACGAATCGAAAGAGAAAAATATCGATCGAAGCACCTCTCTCGAATCCTTGGTTTCTTCGCAGAGAAACACTGATCTATGGTCTATCGCGTTCGAGATCCACCGATGTCCTTCGGAAAGAAGCTGGTCGTCGTTCCGCGCGATCCCTTTGTCAACCCCCCGGTCGAAGCACGCCTTCCAAGGGGTACACACGAAGCGATAACCCCGAGTGACAATTCACGCTCGTCGATTGTTCGTCATCGGGGCGGAGTGCGCGAGCGTGCTTCCTTTTCCCGTTTAAAGAAAAAGGGAACTTGTGGCTCTGTGTGACGCGACTGCACGGTCCCAGAGGTGGTTACCTTGGCCGACGGGGACTGACTGAAGGTGCGAGCCACGCTCGTCTCCGCCACGAGCCACGTCCCAGTGACCTACTCACGATCTCGATCGTCCGCGCTGTACACTCGCCCCTCCGCCGGCTTCTTCCGCCTTCTACGTAAGCAAAGTCCCAAACAGGCCCACCGTCCTCGCTCGCTGTTACTCCCCTACCCTACCGCAAAACGCCGCTCTCTGCCACCGTTTCCATTCCTTCTTATTCCTCCTTTCGCGTCCTTCTCTCTTTCTCTCTATTTCCCCCTATACACAGTTTCTCTTTCCCTCTTTCTTCGCCATCTCTCTTTTCCTCTTCCCACCGCCTTCTCCTTCATCTCTCCGCTCGAGCGTGCAACGTTGCTCGGGCACAGGTGAAAGATAGCCGGAGCGAGGCGCGAGAGTCATTAAACGGCCAATGGGGAGGAGAGAGCCGCGTTTATTTCGGTGGTCGTTGTTCTTCTCCGAACGGAGGCAACGTTTCCACGCTTTTAACGAGCTCTCTTTGGCTCCAGTTGCCCCGCTGCTAGATATCGTAAATAAAGCGCCACGCTCGACGAACTGAATCGACGAAACGGGAAGAGCGAACTTTTCTTTTTTTTTTCTTTTTCTTTTTCTTTTTCTTTTTCTTTCCCCTTTTCTTTTCCTTTTTCCTTTCCTCTTTCTTTTCCTCTTTCTTTTTCTTCTTATAGATTTTCACTTCAAGAGGAAAACGTTAAATTCGCGGAATTATAGAAACATCTTCCTTTCGTGGAACGTGCTTCGGATTACTCGCTACGCGTAGCACCGTAAAGTATCGAAAGTACGTATTCGATTTATTTCCGTCGTCGATCGACCACATCTGTCAGATCGTCCTATAAATACGATTCTCTCGATACGTATATCGCACGAACGTTGATCGATAAACGTATTTTCCTCGCGCTTGCCATTTTTTACCATCTATCCATCTATCCATCTATCCATCTGTCCATCGAGCTTTCTAAAGACTCATTTTCTAGCTTCGATCACATCCGTTAAGCTATCGCCTGTTATTTAAATTTCGATTCAGCGAATTTAACATTCGCCGAACGTATTGCGTCTGGAATCTCGTAACGCGGCATCGCTCGCGAAGCGCTATTTTACGAAGAAACTCGTTTACGAGAGAACACGTAATAGAACAACGAACGACGCAGACGAGCCACCGTCCGCGACGATATCGCGGTGTCGGTTCGCTGCTGGACAAAAAGCCGAGACAGAGAAATCTCTGAAAAATATTTCGGTTATCTGTCGCATAGGTGAAACGTACGCCGATCGTGACACGAATCGTGCCACGGAACCAACCAATCGATTACGACAAAAATGTCTCAACCATGGAAACAAGGACGTTCGATTATAGGTCCAATTTCGATAAATCGTTAGCGAAAGAAAGATTCGAATCGGTGGCCGCATTACCCTTCTACGAGACCAAGTCTCAACGTTCTACGATTTTTTCTCTGTTGACCAAAAGATATAAACGTGCGACACAAGTTTCGACGCTATTTTTGCATTTAAACTTATCATAAAACTAACCTTGCTGGAACTTTGATATCGACGATCATCTATTACAGTTTAGCGATACTAGCTTCTTTTTAATTTTGTCGTTTCCACGTTATGCGCTTATCCAATTATTAGCGATAACGACAAAGTGTAAAAATGTTATAGCGATTAGAACGTCGCGTCTTTCGGACGCGAATTTCGAACTTTTCACATTCGTTTATCGTCACCGAGATTTTTACCTAGGACTGCCTTCGTATTGGAACTTGGAACGAAACCCTCTATATTTAATAATTCGAGAATTACGAACATCGCACGTCGGACATGGAAATTGAGCGCGAATGTGTCTAGTATGGTCGATTCTAAGTCCAAAAAAGTTTACCGGAAAAAAAAAGGAAAGAAGAAAATTGACGAATATTTCTTATACCGAATAGTTCTTAAACGGAAGGTATCGCTCCAAATACGGTTAACGCGAAGGTGTAAATAAGCTTCTAAAACGTATCAGAGTTTTCGGTACATTTCGATTCGCCATAGCATCGTACGAGAGGAAGAAGCGGGCAATTTGCATAATTATCGCGTATCTATTAATTACAACGTGGCAGGAGATGGTAACACGGAGCCGTGCATATTATAAAACGCTCCACTTTCGCGGATACGAGAGATCACCAAGTCGATAAACTGGCTGTGTTTGTAACGTGTGCAGCGCACACGGAACGCGAGACGAATCGATCTGACTTTCGCGAGACGATTAACGAGCGATTAACGTGCAAGTCCTCGAAAAGATACGACGAAACATCGCCCTTAAGTTAAGCTCGGCACACTTTCCTTTTCGCTTCTCGAAATCGCGTCGTAAACCTGAATTTGCGTAACACCGCGACCGATAAGAACCAGACTAGAAAAGCAAGCAACGGCCTGACCCACATTTCTCACCCGCATGCTACTACTAATCCAAACCATCCGGAAGTGGCCTATGGTAGTGGTCGTGCGTAGGGATAACGCCGAACGATAGATAATACGTGAAAGCGCGAGTGAATGCAACGCAACCGCTATACTTTAATGGTAAATCGCATACGAAGGTGGCGTTCCAAGGGCTTTAATAAAGCGATCGCTAACGAAATATTAGAGCGTATTAGACGAGCGATAGAAAAATTTCGTTGCCAAAGAACGTCGAGCTCTTGTTTGTAAAATAAATTGTCTTCGTTTTGATTAAATTTAGCTATGTATCGACGAAAGTACGATAAACGTTCAACGAAAATATCTTAAATACCGTCGAACGTACAATGCGATGCGTATACATTCGATAACGGTGTTATAAAAATTGGATATCGAATTTCGCTGCAAGAAATCGATTCCACGTATTTGCATTCAAATGGAACATAAAAATTGATCAAAAAGCCAATCACGATAGTAACACCGTTATCCCAAAATTGAATAGAAAGTATATCTATTAGTTTTTCATCGAACGTTGTACGTATAATTCGTTTATTATTTCTTTTATAAAAAGATTCATAGAGAGGATTATTTCAGCGTAGCTGAGATATAACCTTTTACCGTACGACACTTTTGTAACACGACAAACTCTCGATTTACTTTAATATCGTACGTATTTTAATATTTCATACATTTTGTCTGTAGAAACGTTCGAAAAAAAAAAAAAAATGGAAGTAACTCGCGGATAGGAAAGCGACGGAATGTATTTTATAAATTTTCCCTTCGCAAATTTCGTAACGCGTTATAACAGCGCTTGTAAAAAAAATACCTAACGAATACCACGATATTCTGCTTCTATTTTTGCCTACATTCCTCCATTTTACTCGGTCAGATTGCATTCCTTTGCTCTTTCTAACCACGGCTTCTCTTAATACGCGCAAAAGTATCCCTCCTATTCGTCAAAGTTGTTACAACGATTCGAATCGTACGAAACACAAACTTGGATCTTTTTAAAAGTCCATGGACCGCTATTTCGATCAGATATCGCGATCGTATCTTTGTCAAGAATTTCGTCTTCTCGCCTCTCTAACTGTTTCGTTTCGTTTCTTTTCGTTTCGTTACTGGTAATGAAATTTCAAGGGCATTTTATACGATACGTACGATGGAATTTGAAAAGTTCTTTATAGTAAGCGTACAAATACTCTGGTATTATGCAACTCGATATCCATATCTTTTCATACGCGATATCGATGTCGGTATAAGAACGAGATCTATGCGAAGACACGCGAGACAAGCACAGATACAAACTGGAATCGGGATCCGGTAGAAAGGTGAACTAATAGGAGAAAGCGGCCCCAAAAATAAATCTTTCGGCTTGGCGCCGGTGTAGCTGATCGAAAATCGTGAATTTAGGCAGGCGGTATCCTAGAATTTCGTTCCGGATACCCAAATATTTATCTGCTTGGTGACGGAGACAGGGCCACCTGCTTGCCGCGGGACTGTCTTTGCGCGTATTTTAAATTTACATACGTAGACACGTACCGAAATCTTGACCCATTTCGTCTTAGCGTCTCTGCCCTCTGTTTACCATCTCTGCTATACTTTGCTCAACGTATCTACGCGTACCGCCGGCTATATTATTTTAACGAGCCCCTTTAAATTTACGAAAGTTACCGCTGCTGTTAAACGTATATGCCCGATTTCGAGCAAGATAACCATCTTCTTTCGAATAGGAAGATTCCGATCAAAGTTTAGATCTAGCGAACCACTTGACAACCAAACGCTCGATTATAAGATTTCGTTATAAGTTGAAACGATTAGAATTTAATTGCAACTCATAACAGCTTTAAGAGAAGCTTTGTAATTGGAAAATTTGATTGGCGGCTATCGCGATTCATCGATAATTTGATTCTTCCGTGTCTCGACAAGAATGCAACGTGTCTCTGCTAAAAATTATTCGTATCGTTTAAGAACTATGTCGAAGAAGCTACCGATAACATTCGACGCAGGAAATATCATTCCGAATATACGGAGAAACGTCAAAAGTGTCTCGAGTTGCGAAAAGTTGCAAATTAGCAACGTTCGTTGCCATCCTGCGAGTAAACAACCGTTCGAAAAACTGACTCACATAATGATAATTATCGATTACGAGTTTATCGATTAAACGAGCAAACGTTTTATTAAAAGCAGCCAGTTTTCCTCGTACGAGGACATACGTTTTCCGGACTTGATCACTTTTTTCAGCAAAAGATGGAGAATCATCGTCTCACGGATTCTCACGGATTCTCGCGGCTTCTCGCGGAATTGCATCGTAAAGAACAAACGAATAATGAAATCAAGCAAGTTGGCAAAACTCTTTAATCGCCTCCAACAATTCCTATAACAAAGAGACTAACGAACGTGATAAGAATTTCACGAACTTCCTGCAATTTTTGCAAGATCCGGTTAAAAAGGTTAGTCGTTTTGTTTGAACAAACGTGTGAACTATTCGAGAGTCTGTTAGCAGGAAAAAATCGGGGAAATCGTCCTTTCGAACACAATGAATCGACTTCTCTTCCGCAACGAGAATAGATTTTTTTGCAAGTAGCTTTTCTCCGATTACCGTGTGCCGGTGATTCGCGCATCTTTTATCCGGAGAAACGGAGAGGAAGAGGGGGGGGGGGGAAGGGG